AGAAGTCCAAACTGTTGCACGTCTGCTTTGGCCATCATCACAGACCGAGTCTGTCTTCCGTTACTATCGATGAGCATGCGGTCAAGGTCGTGCGCGAGATGAAACTGTTTGGTGTGACTATTGATAAAAAGCTCCGATTTGTTAAGCACGCCAAGTTGGTGAAGGATAACGTCAACAGCAAGTGGAATATCCTTCGGACCCTAAATGGTCGCTTTTCTGAAGCCTCTCGTCGTAAATTGACCAAGGTTGCTAGGGCTCTGGGTGTCCCTAGCATCCTTTACGGAGCGGAATTGTGGAGCAGGGGTGGTGTCTTCCTGCAAGAGATTCTGGAACCTCATTACAATGAGGCGTACAGAATTTGTAGTGGAGCGCTGAGGTCTTCACCAATAGCTTCCCTGTTGGTGGAGAATGGTAAGGTACCTTTGGTGAATGTTGTAACCGAAGACCTGGCCATTAAGGCGCTGAGGTTATTGGAAAGATATCCCATCCTCAATGACAGGCCCACGGTTGCAAGGGCGAGAGGATGGTGGAGCGACTTAACGGGGGTAGATTTTTCCACGTTAGGCTGTGGCAACGGGCATGGAGCATCCCAAGTTGATTGGAGGGTTAAAGCTATGTGCGGGGCGAATGTGGCGAAATCTGCATTCAGGGAGGTTGCTGCCTCATACGAGAGAAGGCCCATGCTATTTACGGACGGTTCTTTGATCGACGAGGAAGTTGGTTATGGGGTGTCTGGGGAGGCCATAAGCAGGCTTGATGGAGCCTCGCTCGCTAGTTTGAAATGAGCCGAGCGTAGCATTTTTCTGAGAAGTAAAATGCCTACTACCAAATCATTCCACTGAGCTTCAGAGCTTGTGAGCGAAGTGGGATGAAATGAGAGTGAGGTTTGCTGCCATTCATATTCATGTTTTCTTACTCTCACTTTGGGTGAACTCTGAGCTTCTTGCGTCGAACAAAAAAATCACCCGGAGTCTTGAAAACCGCAACGCACGTCAAATCATCCTCACGCTGAAGTTCACTATCCCTCTCTCTCGAGGAGTTTTTGTTTACTTCTTCTATATTCCTGCCGCCACTCACTCGAGGTGAGGGCTGACTAAACTCACAGGACAAGAGTGTTTTAAAACCTCCAGTGAGTTTGAGGAGTTTCAGCAAGCCTGGCCATAAACCGCTGCGGCCGGTTATCCGGTCTCTGTGGTATCTTCTCAGCTGAGGCCTATGCTCTTCTGCAAGCTTGTAGGATAGCAAATGGGTCTCAGGCCGTTGTATTCTCTGACTCAGCGAGTTGTATTTCTGCCCTTGAGCATGGGCAGGTTGGACACCCATGGTTGTTGGAGGTGCAGCGGTACGCTAACATGACCTTTTTATGGGTACCTAGGCACGCAGGTTTACCAGGGAATGAGGCTGCTGATAGACTAGCTAACCAGGGTCGTCTTGCTCAGCTAGAGGTCACTTCGGTGCACTATAGTGACGCTACCCGCTGAGTGAAGCAGACCTCGCGATACGCATGGAATGTATCTTGGCATAACAACCGTGATGAATTCCTGCGTAGAATCAAGAACACTACGCAAGAGTGGATAGATGTACCCAATTCTCGAGATCAGATAGTTCTGACTTGGCTGAGGATTGGTCATACACGGCTCACTCATGGACCTCGTTTTAGTGGCAGTGTGGCCTACTGCCAGGGTTGCGGTGCGGTGTTAGATGTAAATCATCTATTTTTAGGAGTGCCCGGCTCGAGTACAATTGAGGGAAGAAATGGGTGTCGTTGGTTCAATCCGTGTTTTGGATACAATTCTGATCTCGTTAATAAGTGCTTTTAATTGAATCTTCAAGTATAACCAAAACAGTAACTTTTGCTTTAATACGCGAGTTTAAGTTGTTTTGTTTTTCGTACTATGAAAGTGTCAAAAACCAAGTGTTGTGGTTGAACTTAATTTTGCATGAAACATCGTAACGTGCGCCACGTTTTTGTTATTTTTCGAATAAAAAATATCATATCGGAGGACAATTAAAAAAAAGTGAAAAGTGATAAATTTGGCGAAAATTGTACTTGAAGACCAAGAAGTTAAGAGCTACTAAACATTCCGTGATTAAGATGATTTATTGCTCTGAAAATGACGGTAATAAGGCATTAATTCTTTCTAGGTCTCCGTGTGGGCCTTACGGTCGGAATAGCCACCTTTAGCCCCCTGATGACTCCATAGTTAGTAAGGTGCACTATAACTGCTATAACCCAGCATCCGAGGGCAGCGGATCAATGAAGGAATGACATTTTAATGCGTCTATCCAGATTTGCTGGTTGACTAGCCTAATGTTGCTTCTCTTTTTAATCCTTTGCCCAAAATTACAGAACAATTTCGCTGAGGTTGATAGGCCCGACACGCGAATAATTAATACCAACTTGAATCAGGAGAGCGAGAAGTGATTACAACGAAAATGAACTTTGCATGGAACTTCCTTCGGCTAGGGTCTCCCGGTCCTTGCAAAATACTTAAAATTGGATAACTCGCAGTGAACTCAATTTTGACTGGTTGCACTCCGTGTACAATCTCTAACGCAGAATACAAATTTCGCCTTCTTCCATCTTGAGACGATGTGATCCCGGAGAACCAGACGTCAAGTGGCAAGGTTAATTTATTTATTCCCCAAAAAATACCATCACGAATTCACGTAGCGTGCGAGAACCGCAACAACAATGCCAAGAATCAAACTGCCTCAACGGCTTCAACACAAATACATCCTCATCGTACATGCTAGATGGCAAATGGAAACCAGGTGGCGATCGCTAGTGAATGATACATTTACACATTCATACCGGTTGTTTGTATACAAAATATCATAACAATCGGTCAGATCATGTTTGCCATTTTAGATCGGGCAGGGCACCGAGAGGGTGACTCTCCCACTGATCGAGAGCGAGATAGATAAATCCCATCAACCAACCAGCAGCGATGGATGGATGGAACGAATGAAGTTTGAAGAGAGTGCGAGAGAAATCCGTCTTAAGACTCAAATACAACGAGAGTGGAAGCGGAGTGGCAGAACGGGAGAATAGAAAACTATGATCTATTTCTCGATTACTTTTTCGAAAGGAACGTATCAGCTTTTGTAAACAATGCATTTGACCGTCGATTTGGCGCAACTGCTAGCTCGCCCACGTATACTAACACCACTATCAGGTAGGGGAAATTGGTATGCGTGGACGAGCTACCAGGTGCGACAAATTTGCGATCAAATGCATTCTTTACAAAAGCTGATACGTCCCTTCGAAAAAGTAATCGAGATTTGGAGCATGTTCATTCAAAATTGATACTTCGGAAATAATTAAAATTATTGAAAATCTCGAGGTTGTTGATCGACCAATTTTTAACTAGTTGTTTGTCAAAATTAATTCCTTTTCTGTCAAATAAAAGGTACGCTGGAATACCAGGGCTATCTTTAAGGTGATACTCTAAGCAAGCCTTAGCGTGAAATTTCAAAGGCACAAATGTCAACTTCCACAAACTGTGCTACTACAAACAGAGAGTAGCAATTTCAAATTTGTATGTTTTGTGGAAGCTGACATTTGTGCCTTTGAAGTTTCACGCTAAGGCTTCCTTAGAGTATCACCTTAAATGTGTTATCTGACAAATTTGGTACCAAATAGGCATAGGTAAGGAGCGGCTGTTGACATTTGTGAAAACTGTTAATCTTGCCACTGCCGCTTCACTTTCGTTCGCATTGCGATTAAACCTTTATTGAAGTCGTTGCCGTTGGGCTTGTAGGCACCATTGGAGCGATTCTTTAAAACATGCAATTAATTATTCGTCGGTTCTGTTAATCGAAAGAATGGATTATCAAATAATGGCCATGTACAAGGAATAACTCATATTACCGCAATCCAGTCAAAACAAATGACTAGAAATAGATGAAGAGAATCTATAATTTAATTATGAGACATTCTGAAGAATCACTCTTGAATCACCAAGAAGAGACTGAAATATTTTCAATAGATATCCACTGTCTAATGACGATTATTATAGAAATTAATGCACAAACTAGACGACCGTTTTCCTGCGTTTGTTCCAGACATTAAGTTAAAATGTTCAACTGCTCGTTAATATCCAGCTGCCCCATCGATATAAATAAACGTTACGTTATTACTGTTTGCTTACTTTTTCGCTCACGACACCCAAAATGAGCGCGAGCATGAGGTCGCTCGCACGGCAGAAGCAAAATACAGAGAGGTACCGTTGTTTGCGGATGGAATTTTAGCCAGTATCGTCAAGTTATGGTTCGCGTTTATGCGGGAGTGATAACGCTTGATTTTCGTAGACAAAAATCATTAAGCAAACAACTGTGGATGACATTACAAGCTGTGATAACGTAGCTCCGAGCTACCATTATCACCAAAGCGTGGTGAGCTTGAGTTTCAAAATTTATGGTTTACATCCGAACGGAACCTGAATCTTCCATAACTGCTGGCAGCAGTAGCTTCGTGTCTGCCATCGGTGAAGAGTAAAGAGATATAGCAAACTATGCTTTCTCTTTCTAATAAAACGATGTGCAACGGAATCATTTTTTTGTCGAGTCAACTCCCCGCTCGATTTTTACATGTTGTGAATAGTCTCGCAATATGAAAGGAGCTTGAAAAATCAATATCAAGCATGCTATTTTGAGCGAATGAGAGTGAAAAAAAAATCATTTTACAATTGATTATGCCATCACTGCCTGCAGTGGCCTCATTGCGCAAGTCGAAACGAAGCATTTTTTGTATGAACTCTTGAATGAAAAAGTTTTTCGTTTCGACTTGCGCAATGAGGCCTCTAGTTTTTGGTAATGAAGATACCATTTGCGATTAGTAAGGAATACCGGCTAAAACTCCACTCGCAAACAACGGTACCTCTCTGTAAACTCAAAGTCTGCTGAAACATAAGCAAGTGGAAACCTGGGAAGCGATGCAAACCGAGAGAGCGACACCCCGACGCCTAAACCTAAACAGTTCCTCGGTGCCTGCGAGTGCGTTCGGTTCGCAATGGGTTTTCTCATCACCACGGTGTGCCTGGTTCTGCCCGTTCTAGGGCTACTGTACTACTATGTACGGCGCAAATATTGCTACTGGTCCGATCGGAACGTCACGCACGTTCGCGGTTCCCTACCCATGGGATCGTTCAACGAAATGGGATCCAAGAAGCACTTCACAGAAGTACTGGAATCCGTCTACCAACGGTTCAAAAAGTCACACGCTGCGATTGGAATGTATCTTGGCATTAGACCGATACTGATCGTCAACGATTTGGATTTGGTAAAACAGATCCTGATCAAGGATTTCAACAACTTCCGCGATCGAGGTATGTTCTTCAACGAACGAGACGATCCCCTGTCGGCTCATCTGTTTTCGATCGAAGGAGAACGATGGCGTTTTCTACGGAACAAGCTCAGCCCAACGTTCACTTCCGGTAAGATCAAGTACATGTTCCTCACGATTCGGGAGATCGGTGAAGAATTTTTGGCCAGTTTTGATCGGTATGTGGAACGGAAGGAACCGGTAGATGTTAGCATTTTGGCTCAGCAGTTCACTTGCGATGTGATTGGATCGTGCGCTTTCGGTTTGCAATGTAATGCTTTGAAAAACGAGAGCTCGCATTTGTTGGATATAGGCGATAGGATGTTCAATCCGAAACCCTTGGAGATGGTGTGGATGTTGTTTCTTATCAGCTTCCGAGATTGGGCTGTAAAGTTAGGCCTCAAACAAACGCCGGCAGATGTGACGGCGTATTTCGTAGATGTCGTGCAAAAAACGGTGGATCACAGGGAGAAGAACAATGTAACACGTCCGGACTTTTTGCAACTGTTGATGCAGCTGAAAAATAGGGGAACAATAGAGGACGATGAAGAAGATTCGAAGGATACCATAACGATGAATGAAGTGATCGCACAAGCTTTTCTGTTCTTCTTTGCCGGATTTGAAACATCATCTAGGGCCCTATCGTTTGCATTGTTCGAGCTTGCGCATAATCCTGCTGTTCAAGACAAGGCCCGTGAAGAAGTTCAACGAGTTATCGCAGCTCACGATGGTCACATAACATACGAAGCGGTCAAGGAAATGATCTATCTAGAACAAATCGTCAATGGTGGGTTCAAAATGTTTCTATCCTTCGTTTTCATGTTCCAATAATTTTATCTTCATTGCAGAAACACTTCGCAAGCACGCCCCGATAGGAAATTTAATTCGCGTTGCCAACGAAGCCTTCCAGATTCCCACACAGGACCTGACCATCGAGAAGGAAACACTGGTGATGATCCCCATCCATTCGATTCATCACGATCCTGAAATCTACCCAGATCCGTCCCGGTTCGATCCGGACCGTTTCTCCGCAGAAGCTGTGAGTGCCCGCCATTCGCACAGCTTCCTCCCATTCGGCGATGGACCGAGAATGTGCATCGGAATGCGATTCGCCCTGGTGGAGGTCCAGTTCGGAATCGCTCAGCTGCTCAGCCGGCTACGATTCAGCGTGAACGGGCGCACCCAGCTGCCGCTGCGGTACGATCCGAAGGCCAATGTAGCCAAAGCCTTGGGCGGCCTCTGGTTGGATGCGGAGAAGATTTGAGCGCCGTTCGCCGAGATGTTGAAGTGAGGGGCAGGAATATAATGGATCCAAACCTGGTTACCCGAGAGATGACGCTTTTGAAATTGGTTGCTCTGATCATTTTCCTTGTATGGGAGATGAGGTGTGGCGCTTTTTCATGATACGGCATAATAATTCCTGTTATAACTAATTGAATATATGTGAATAATGATAACAAATCAATCTATAATCACTTTTTAATAAATTTTCCATATGGACTCCAACAATCCCCCTCTATTCTATATTGCCAATTTAAGCCTTGCTTTGTAGAAAAATTACGTTTTTATATGATGATTATGATTGTACATTGATTTAACATTTTAATTGACTCTTCATCATTTATTGGATATTCTAATTCTAGTTGCGTGTTTCAACTAGTTCACCGAACGGTGCCGGTGGTGTAGTGGTAAGCGTGATTACCTTTCACCCCAGCAGGCCTGGGTTCAATCCCAGTCGGCGCCGGGATGTTCTGAGGTATAACATCTCTGATCATCTGAAGTAAAGCCGTTGGTCCCCGGTTCATGAGTTGATGGGTCGATAGGTAGGGTCCAGATGTGGGAGCTGCCTTCCTGGCACGTCGGTAGCATTGGTGCTCAGCACGGAAAACAAGATCGACGGAAAAAAACAAACCAAAGGAAAAAAAAAAAAAATAGTTCACCGAATACTCCTTAGGGGGTGAGTTTTGTTTAAATTGAAAAATGTGATAACCTACCTATCTACGAGTATACCTTAACCTAACGTGCTAGATCACGTATGATCTGTTGATCTGATCTACCAGGTGTCTCTGAACCTTTACTGGAGAAATAATCTCCGTTCTTCTAATGTTTGAATTCCAGCCAGGAGGTGGATCTTAGAGTTTCGAGTCCACGGAGAACTGCTTAGGATCATTCTAAGGATCTCGTTCTGGATCCTATGCAGTTTAACATGATGGCATTTGAAACAACTCTCCCAGCTTGGCATGCCATACTCAATAACAGGTAGGATTAGTTGTCTATAGACAGCGGATGATAAGTGGATACAGTGATCTTATCAAGATGTTGCACTTGGTGTTAGTTTTATCAATATGCTCCCTAAAAAAGCTTGCTGTCAAGTGTAAGTCCGAGCAATTCAAGCAGATCTTATTATTTCAAGATGGAACAAGTCTGACACAATATGATGATCTGGGTCATTGCCAAGTTGATACGGATCTTCCAGTTGTCGAAATACACACACAGGACAGACTTTTTCCGTCTGAGAATATTGCTTACTCGAATCAGTTGGTGAGTAGTCGACCGACCTTGTCGAAAATCAAACTGCTCCTCAGGTAAGATATTATTTTCGTCGGCAGATGTTAGAAGACGCCGGTATATCGCTTTTTCAAGAAGCTTTGATAAACCTGAGAGAAGGTTGATAGGTCTGTAGCTGAAAGAAGAGGAAGGATCTTTCCCAGGTTTACGGATGGGTATGACTTTGGTTAACTTCCAGCACGAGGGAAAGTAGCCAAGCCTAAGGCACGGATTGAAAATCAGTGCCAGGTAAACGTAGAATCTAGAACTCAAATGTTTGAGTTCTAGATTCAAGATGTTATCGAAACCTGGGGCCTTCATGTTTTAGGAAAATTTGATATAGGCCAACAGATCGTCAGCTGAAATCTCTGAAACTGCGGGGAAGTTGCTGGGAATCAAATGGAGGTTGGTTGCATTTTGAGCAACAGCAGCCTGATTTTTTGTCCGAGATTATGGGAGCTGACGAAGTGTTGGCCAATCACGGCAGCCTTCTCAACAGGAGTTATCAGATGAACCACTGAATCATCGGAACGATTCAGTGGAACTAGTGGTGGAATGGGTATGGGCTCTGGTTAATTTCTAGAAAGGCTTTGCACAATCAACTTGAATTCACAATCGAATTAAATTTAAGCCTTGCATTTGTCGATTTGCTTCTGACGTAGGATTACGTTTTTAGGCAACATATTGGGGGAGCAATTAAAAAAAAACAAAATCGGCGCGTTACGAAAAGTGGTCATATTTTGACCACTTATAACTCTGTCAATAGCGGATGGACTTAAATTCTAAACAAGCCAATCGATTGGAAATTTTACTACGAAATGAACATTTCTTCAATTTTCAATAGGTACCTAACTGTTGCAGTGGTGATCAAAATGATCACCGATTGCCTGCAAAAAGCGCTTTCCCCAACACAGTTTTCAAAATCGTATTCCATCCGATCTTATTCAATTAACGTGGGTGGTGGTGTCCGGTCTGTCTTCTTTAGCAGCAGCAGCAGCAGTGGTTTCGGCGCGTGGCGTTGAATACTGTTCTCCAGTACACATTGAAAGGTTGCCCGCAAGCAGCGAGATGCAGCCTACATGAGCGTCCATTCACTAAAGAAGGAGGAAGAAGCAACACCGCTACTGATCGGATTCAGTAGCTCTTCGGAAGTTGCATTGGACCATCTATGCCAAGCGCGTCACCCTCGTTCCAAACAACATACAGATCGCCAGCCTCATCCGTGTTGAACACCCTAATAGCTCAGCATTACTCAACCTTCACGACAAAACGGTCCTTTTCAGGATCACCATACATTTGTTAAAGAGTATTTGCTGAACATCAATTCCCATAAGTTTAAATCTAACATACCAACCCTAGTAGCACGCTTGTCACAAATCAATTGTAGACACTTATATACGACTTATTTCAGTCATAAACAAGTTGCTGTAACTTATTGTGATGAAAGTGTGCTACTCGGGAAGTAACGGTGCCGGTGGTGTAGTGTTTGCATCATTGAGCAATGTCAAAATTAAAAAAATTCTCAAATATTTCGTTTTCGAGTTTTTTTATTTATTCAAAGGGAGATATTTCTCAGAGTCTTAAACTATGTTAATCATCGATCGAGTATCCACTTGCTGCAATTACGGCCTAATAATGTGGTCTGGATCCATTTCTCTCCAGGTACGGGTCAATGTTTGTCTAAGGCTTGCTGTACTCGGGTGGCGTTTAGAACAGGCCTTGGCCATCATGACGCGCCATATTGAATAATCCAGCGGATTAAGACCGGGGCTGGATGGCGGCCACATGTTCTTCGCCCAGAACGGAAGATGTTCCTGCAACCACTTCTGAGTACGGTTCGAGGTGTGGCACGGAGCCCCATCTTGTTGAAATACAACATTTGGCTTCGGACCGTACTGTTCTTTGATCCACGGAAGAACATTCTTACTTAAAATCCCGATGTAGACTTCCGTGTTGACCTTGTCGCCTTCTGGAATGAACACCAGGTCCATTTTTTGCCATCGGAAGCCACCAATCCAAACACCATAAACATGCTCGGTGAACAGGATTACCGGATTTTTTCGCTTAAGGAAGTTCAAGATTTTCTTGCATCGTTCGACTCGTAGCTCCCGGATTGCGGTTGGTAATCATGTGAGTTTTTTTTCCGTGCCCTTGACTTTGCCCGCAATCTTTCTTTACGATCTTCCGTGCCGTAAGGTCACTGATCCCGTGTTCCTAAGCCATTTTCCTTATTGAACGCACTGGATTCACCAGAATCTTCCTTTTGATAGCAGCGATAACCCTCGGTTAGGAAAGGTTGTTGAGGGGTGGGGGGGGGGGGGTAGGAAAGGTTGTTGATGAGTGGGGGAGGGCTTAGGAAAGGTTGTTGATGAGTGGTGGTGGGGGGTTAGGAGAGGTCGTTGAGGGAGGGGAGAGATTGTTGTGAAGGGGGGAGGGGAAGAGATTGTTGTGAAGGGGGGAGAGGGAGAGATTGTTGTGAAGGGGGAGGGGGAGAGGTTGTTGTGAAAGGGGGAGGGGGTTTACATCATTATTGTGGTCACACCGTGATCCACCTTAAGTCGCTGATTTGGTCCTGCTTACTGCAGGACCAAGCGCCACGCCGTCCGAAGCGACAATGAGCAAAAGCTAGTTAGTTTTAGTTTAAATGATCTTTATTTTAGTTTAACTTGGACGATTACCATATAAATTTTTACTAAGTGATTTAATTGCTTTCTTCATCTTTAGGTATGGGCAAAATTCAAAATTTGTTTTACAGAATTAGTCCTAGACTTAGTACACGGTCGACCACCTTGGTGGGATTGGTTTGTTTTGTTTTTAGAATTTGAAGAGAAACTACTTAATACTACTATTTACAGCTTAAAACTAACCTACTCTACTATATACACTTAACCTACTATGTACAAATTGCTTATTAAAGCATGTTCAGAAAGATTGCATTTTAGAATAAATTTAGTTGTCATATCATCAATTTTGGAATCTACTTTGGGAATTTCTGCCTCTTGATGGAGGTCTGCTATTCTTGTGTCGAATGGACGATCTAGGATCATCCTCAACACTCTATTCTGTGCAACCTGGATTTTGTTCCTGTGGGTCTGAGCGCACGATTCCCACACCGGGGCGGCATAGAAGATCGCGGGGGCTATGATCTGTTTGTAAACAGCCAGTTTGTTTTGCCTTGAGAGGCGGGATTTGCGGCAAATGAGCGGATACAAACACCTAACCAAGGCGGAGCACTTAACTAGGGTTTTCTCTATGTGCGAGCGGAACAGGAGCTTCTCATCGAACAACATCCCGAGATAAGTAACATCAGTGGACCACTCGACCCTTGTACCATCCATTATTACGGTACAGGAGGGAGACGGTTTAAGTTTTAATGATTGTCTGTGAAGGAACATGATCGCTTGGGTTTTCGAGGCGTTGATTTTGATTTTCCACGTGGTGGCATAATCAGTAAAGGTGTCAAGGCATCGTTGGAGCTTGTTCGTAATTTCACGAGGCATCCTACCCTTGACAGCTATCGCGGTGTCATCTGCAAACAGAAAGAACACGCAACCGTCTCCTAGAGGAGGGATGTCCGACGTGTAGATGCTGTAAAGCAGTGGTCCCAGCAGACTCCCTTGCGGAACACCTGCTGGGATCGGAAATTGTCCCGAAAGGGAACTATTCAACGACACCCTGAACGACCTTTGCTGGAGATAGTTACGGGTGGTTTTCACAAGGTATGGTGGAAAGTTAGAGTTACAAAGCTTGTATATAAGTCCGTCGTGCCAGACATTGTCAAACGCCTTTTCGACGTCTAACAAGGCCATGGCTGTGGACTTGGATACAGCTTTGTTACTTCGGATGTTATTCATCACCCGCACTAGCTGAT